CAAACAGTGTGTTGAAGTTCTCCCGGCTCGACAACATGAGTACAAACTATCAGGACTGCCTCTTCCTTCTTTATTTAATGTATGAACTTTGACGAGACGTTTATTTCTCATAGCGGCTAAACAGCGGTTCATTTCCCCGGCTGCTTTGACTCATGGTGGCCCACAGATCAACTCGTGATGACATGTGGTGAGCCTTGTTTTAATCTGTGTAGACCACAAATAATAGCCTGCAGTTTAATTTATTCTGAATTATGTGAGAAAGCCAAACAACAGGAAGAAACTCTCGTCTGCTAAATGTTAAAGAGTTTATTCTACGTCAACAAATCATTTTTACGTCAAAATCATTACTTAGCAGTAAATCACAAGAGCTGTGATTTTATTCAAACTTGAAGATAAACAGACGTCTCAATCCTAGAGGCTCGTGATTTTAGATATAAAATATATTTATGAAGGATTTATAAATTACATTAGCATTAAGGTCGCACTGCCGGTTGTAACTATATAAATATACATATATAATATATATATAAAATAATGTATTATATTACATTATTACCTCTGAATTGGATTATTATCGGATAGAATAATGACTTAGTAATTAACTACGTCTGAAAGCAGAAGTCTAGGGCAAATAATTGCAAGTCTCTTCAGTGGCATGTCACAAAACGAGATGCATTGTGGGACATGTAGTTTATGGGCAACCTGTTTCTGTAAAGTGACATGTAACCGTATAATAAACGTATTATATTCTTTGCAAGCTCTTGCGGGGCCAAATAAAAGGAAGTCGCGGGCCGGATTTGGCCCCCGGGCCTTGAGTTTGACACCCCTGATTTAAACCAACTATAAAGACAGCTATCACCAATAGACTCTGCTTTAGTTCACTAAAGTTAATAAGAATCTGTATTACTTTATTATATTCCACTTTATTTACAGATAACATTTATTTGTATTAATGCGTGATACATCGTATATATTTGTATATATACAAAATACCCTTTCATTCATTTAGAGAATAATATAATCTCAGTATGAGCCAGATTATTCTGTTCAAACTTCAAAATGTTGAGCTCTCACAGACAAAAATAAGCCAACAATGAAGTAAACGTCCTTTTAGTGAATTTTGTATTAATTTACAAAACGAACTGCATCCCACTGCTGCGCAAAAACCCTCGTGAGATTTTCCAATCACTACGTCAATATTATAATAACTATATCAACATTTAAATAAGTATATCAATATTGTGAATGTCAGTGGCAAACTAACTTTGGGCGTAGGGCCCTTCTTGAATGTGTCACTTGTTTAAACTTGTAATAACATCTAAACTTTTAAAGCCAAAATTAACCAGAAGTCCTTTAAGAGCTCCGACAATGTAAGAAGATCATATGATGAGGATGAGGATGAGGATGAGGATGAGGATAGAAAGTGAGCCTGAGCTGCTGCATGGACCTGTGGTTAGATTGTTATTCCTACTACTGACACCGAATGTATAAATAAACAGATATATGAAGTAGTGTAACCCCTCCAACTACCTCTACCAAGAGAGACTAAAACATGTTTGCAGAGACAGTCCTGATAGTTTGCACTTCATGTGAAAGCGCACGCACACACACACACACACACACACACACACACACACACACACACACACACACACACACATTGACAGGTGTTTGGAAGTGACTCTGAAGTTTCTACAGTACGAGTGGGGGTCTTGTTCTGGATGCTGTGTGTGTGTGTGTGTGTGTGTGTGTGTGTGTGTGTGTGTGTGTGATTGTAATTTATGTGTTCATGATGATCGTATGTGTGCAAGTTTTCATTTCTTATTCCAACACACACTATAATTGCATCACCCCAGTCTGCAACACTCTTAGTCACCTCAGGGAGAAAACAACCTGTGTCACACACACACACACACACACACACTGCTGAGGTCTTTTGAGGATACCTCATGAGTGAAATTGGCGTGTCTCTTCGCCCAGTTGTTTTTTGCGTCGCTCTGATACTTTGTGTTTCTCGCTGTGGATAAAGTGTGTGAGTAAGGGCTTCACTCTGTAATCTTAACTCTGTTTTTCTACACAAACACACACATCTGTCGTCCACTCCGCTCTTCCTCTTCGTCTTGTTCTTCTCCTCCTGTCCAGAGTCTCCTTGTGCTTGTAAAAGCGAAAGCAAAGAATGTTTCCAGCAAACACTTTTTTGTAACAACTTTAAACAATAAAGTGGAAAGAAAAGTGACACGTGGCTTTGTGTACTGGATTATCATTTCAAAAACTAACAAAATCTTTGTTTTGCAGCTTGGAAACAAAGAGAGATAACAAGGGGGTCATTTATTAATATTACTACTAATTATACAATAGCAATAAAACCATAAGATTTAAATTCTAGTGTTTGTTTTTTACAGCGGACTGAGGGAATTGAATAAGAATTAAATGACATGTTTAATTAAATGAAAGTCTGGTGATATTCAGTCAAGTGTTCAAGTATTTAAATCCTTAAATTAAATGTAAAATGAGTCATAATTTTAATACTAATTGAACATTACATTTTTATATTTGTGTTTTTTATTTTTTATGATATGTTTCTAGTTATTTATCATGTGTTTAATTATTGTTTTATTATTGTACTCCCATTGTGTTATTTAATATTGTAGTTATTTCCTGTACAGCACTTTGGTCAACTGAAGGTTGTTTTAAATGTGCTATATAAATAAATAAAGATTGAGATTGATAATAATTGTTATATAGGGGAAAACCATAATTTATCTGTTATCTAATTAATTTATCTAATTAAATCTGGTTGCTGTCAGTATTATTTATTTGTTCTGAAATTACAATCAAACCCCCAATCTGCATTGTTTGCATCAGCCATTGATTATTGAAGAGAATGTGAAGCTTCATGATTTTTAAATAAAAACATTCTGGCAGAGACTCCAACCTAGAGACTGTTGCTTTCTAAACTGCTCATTTGAAGTTGCTGTCCAAAGGTATAGATCTTAAACAAATATTTCTTTAAAATAAACTTAACAATGAGCACCATCTTCAGTAAAACGATCTTCAATGAGCTGCGTCGGGAGGGGACGCTGTGCGACGCTGTGATCCGAGTGGAGGACGTTGGCTTCAGAGTCCACAGGATCGTCCTCTGCAACAGCAGCACCTTCTTCAGGTGAGCTGCTCAAAGTTTTATTAAGGATTCACATCAAGTGTGTCTTCATGTCACACAGAGCAACAGCTACAGGCGGCTTTAAAGGCACCCTGTGGAGGTTTCTGACCACTAAGAGAGCTGTGGAGCAATGTTTAAAAGGACAAGAAAATCTGCTTTTTAAATGTTCTTGGGGGAGATTTGTTGGCATTCACTACATGTTCGTGAGAAACATGTCAAAAGTCTTAATGAATATCTGAAAAGTTGTCACGACCTTAACACAAACTGGAGAACCCAAATGCACGACCCAGAGACAGTCTTGAATGCAGTAAAACATTTCCATTTAATTTCCAAGAAAACAGAAAATCCCTCTTAACAGAGTAGGTACTGGATTTAACATAAAGTGCTCACAAGGCTGTGGCTCAGTGGATAGTGTGATGGACTTGGAATCAGGGGATAGCAAGTTCGAGTCCCACTGCAGTCAGCATGTCGTTGTGTCCCTGCAAGACACTTCACCCCAAATGGCTCCTGTGGGGATTGTCCGCAGTACTGAATGTATGTAAGTCGCTTTGGATAAAAGCGTCTAACAAATGACATGTAATGTAACAAAGAGGAAAAAACAAGCCTTAGGAAAGGAGAATTTAAGATGAACTTAAGCTTCCAAAAAACATAACAAAACCTGACTAGACTGGAAAAGATCCTTTCTTAGTTGAAGCTTGGCACGACGACCATTCAGAGAAACAAACAAGACGAACTGACACAGGACAGGGGAGAGACAGGACTATTTAAACATGAGGTGAGTGGGAACAGGTGGAAACAAGCAGGGGCGGGGCAGACGCTGACTAGGGCGGGAAGAACACACAAGGGGAGGAAGAAACAGGGCCTGAAATGAAAGACAAGAGGTAAGTACAAAATAAAACAGGAAATGACAGACAAAATACAAAACCAACACATTTGACGAGACACAACAAAAGTGCCTTTAAAAAGTTTAAAAACGAAGATTCCACAGATTGAAGGATTGGTCAAAACCATCATAGCCAGTTTATACTGCAGGTCTTGGGGAGCAATACTGCATATTTGGAAAAAGTAAAAAAGTGATATTGCTCAAGAAAAAGCTTTGTTATGTCTGATGAAGGTCATATGTACAGCTTGGTGATATAAGAACAACATCATCACAATATAGCTGATTTTGCAGAGCTGACTATTGGTGCTTTTACTCAATTTGAACGCAATTCTTGATAAATAATCATCAGTATTGTGGATGTATTGACTAAGTGTGAAAAGAGAAAGAGTTGGAACAGTCTAGTAGGATTAGAAAATGACATCACATTACTGTAACAAAGCATTTAAAATGATGTACCACAATTACGATTTTTTTTTTGTAGACGGTCGTAGTCTCATAATATATGATCCGATGTATATCAACATATCGCCCCAGGACTACTGAGACCTCACCTGAGTCTGGTAAAAGACTACAAGTATGAAAATGAAACATTTCTGGAGGTGTATCGTTAAAAAAAAATTGAACTAACCCTATACCTCAGTAGCCAGCTTCTCATTTCTGCTGTAGAGGCTTGAGGGTATACGTTACAATTACAAGACTCCCATATCTCCTACTGTCTGATGCATTTTGGGTAAGGCAGGCACCAGATTGTGTTAATAAAGAAGAATGTGTGGTATAAGAAAATACATTATCTCTGGTTCTGTTGATCTATTTGATGTTTAAAATATTTTTTAGTGGCCAATTTTGCCCGTATTGTACATAGGACAGATGGATTGAAAGGAGAAAGTCAAACTTGTTTCTGCTGCAGTTAGAACTCAGCCTGAGTACATGAGCTTCAATTTTTTTAACCGTCACTCACAATGTTATAGAGTGTAATGCTACAATTCGAGGAACTCTTAAAATGCAGGTTTGAGTTAAAATTGTAGGAGTTTGACAGAAAGACCCTGTTGAACCTCTTGTTCCTGTGACCTCTGGTCCCACAGAGAACTCTTCTGCAATTTATCTGGACCATCGGAGCATCAGGTCTTCAGCTTCTCACAGGTCTCCCCCATCACCATGAGCCTCATCCTGGACTTCATCTACACCGGCTCCATGGTGGTGACGGAGGAGAACGTTCTGGAGCTGTTGGCCGGAGCAGAGAGCTTCTCCGTCGGGGGCGTCATGAAGGCCTGCTGCCTCTTCCTGGAGCAGAGACTCAACACCAAGAACTGCGTCCACATCTGGATGGTGGCGGAGTTCCACACATGTCCCAAGCTGAGGCAGAAGGCCTACCTGTTCGTGCTGCATCACTTTAAGGAGGTGGCGGGCTTCTCTGTGAAGTTCCTGCAGCTCTCCGTGCAGCAGCTGGCAGATCTCATCGAGCAGGACGAGCTGAATGTGAAGCAGGAGAGCATCGTGTTCGAGGCGGTGCAGCGCTGGATCAACTATGCCCCGCAGGAACGCCAGGGTCACATGGCCGCGCTGCTGAGCAAGGTATCTGAAAGCACCACGTGAACTGCTGCTGGTTTACTTTATTTATTAACTATTTAAGCAGTGTTCAGGTAGGCTACTTGTACTTTTACTACAGATACATTGGCGCCCCCCGAAAAGGACTCAAAGTCTGAACTGTTGACATCTGACATGCTAGTGTTTTTTTTTCAATTTTTTTTATTCGAACTCAAAGGCTTACTTGTCATGTGCACAACAGCTATAGTGGCAGTTAAAATCCTAAGTCATTCTAAGTCACTACATTATACTTAAGCTTTAAAGGGCCCATGTCATGCTTTTCCGGTTATTACCTGTCCCCTTGTGTGTTGTGAAGCTTTTTCTGCATGTAAACGGTCTGCAGAGTCACAAACCCTCAAAGTATACCCTGTAGCGAGTAAAACTCTAACACAGAGAAGACCTGTCTGTGCTGCCCCAGAACGCCTCGTTGGAGATCTCTCTTTTTCCATTTGTGTCTTCCCGAGTAAAGTGACGTAACCATACCCAGGTCCAAATGGACCAATCCGTGGAGCTCCTTACACACACACACTCACTCAGCCTTACACCAGTAATCCAGCTCACACTGTCCGCTCCTCAAGCCTCAAAGGGCGGAGCAGCGAGCCCAGCAACGTCCCGCCAAAACGGCACCCAGACCCCATGCAGCATTCTCATCTGTTTGTCATTACTGGTCTTTTCCGGGTTGCTAACAAACGCCATTGTAACACATAAACACACATCAGAGCACAGTGGGCTCATAGGGAGTGGGGGGGGGGGCAGGAGCTCCAACAAGCTCCAACAAGCTCCACACATACTATACAGACAGAGATGCTGTATGAGAAGCCAATGTGATTTTGGAACATTGAACAATGTAAATCTATTCTAGTAGACCTCAACAATGGAATTATGATCAGTAGAAATGGCCATGACATGGGACCTTTAAGATTCCTGACAACAATTATTCGAAGTGTCCCAGGTTTAAGGTAAACAGGCCCAAATGTAACGCAGCCTGACTTCCGTCTGAAAATACAAATGTGTACTTAGAGAATACCAAAACAAAAAAAGGTGCATTTCTTTCTCGGTTTTGCTCATCTTTCATTTCAGAAAGCTTACAAAAGACTGTGAACATGTCTGGTAATCATATTACTAGTGCTTGTATGGCAAGATAACAAGGTAATCACGAGAATAGCTACTGCGATAGAAACAGAATTGCCAAATCAAGTGGATTTCATTTGAAAATGTTATACCATCTTATTGGCCAGCCCTAGGCCACAATTTCTGATAGTTGTGTATCAGGACAGTTTAGAGTAGATGAATGACTTAAAACATCAATACCTATTATTATTATTATTATTATTTGTATGTATTTATCTTTTCATATGTCTATTTTATTATTATTATTTGTATTGATCTCTTTTTGTTCTTTTCTTATGTTGGCTATGTAGATACAGCTAAAGGAAAATGGAAAAACTGTTGACCACAATGTAATAATAATAAAACTGAATCTGAAAACATCAATACCTATTGAAGTGTCTGCAAATAATGATTGGTTTAAAAACTCCTTATTAGTTAAATCCTCCTTGTTTTCCCGATCTAGGTGCGCCTGCTGTCAATGTCCAGTAGTTACCTGGTAGAAACTGTGATTAACAACAACCTGGTGAGGAAGTGTGTGTCGTGCATGACCTTGGTGATCGACGCCATGAAGACCCTGCGAGAGGCCCATCTGCAGCGACCTCTGACCCGCGCCCGCCTCCCCTCTGCGGTGCTCATGACCATCGGAGGCAGCGAGAAAGAATGTTTGACGGACAGGATGGACTTCTACGATGTCCGAGCCGACTGCTGGCTGCCCATGAACAGCCGGGAGAAGACCTTTAGAGTTCTGCACGGTTGCGTCTTCCTCAATGGATCCATCTACTGTATTGGAGGAACTGACCTGAGTAACATTTTGAGCAGCGTGCGTAAGTTCGACCTCGTCAGCCACACCTGGCAGGAGTTGGTGCCCATTCACAAACCCAGAAAATGTGTGTGTGCGGTGGCTCTGAACGGATGCATTTATGCCATCGGAGGCACTGACGGGCGCGAACAGAAACTTGCAGAGCGGTTCCAGCCGGAAAACAACCGGTGGGAACTGATCGCTCCGATGCTCGATTTCAGGAGTGACGCCTGCGCCGCGACGCTACACGGCAAGGTAGGAGGAACTGAGCATAGATATATATAAACACTAGATGACTCACCCGCGCTGCTGGCCAATGGAGACCGACGTTGCCACATGGCGGCCATCTTGCCACAGGCAGCTCACTCATTCATAACATTATGTCTATGGTGCACTATTGAAATAACCGTAGATTGCTCCATTTTCAACCGGTTTGGTTTGTTATAAACATCAAAGATGTAGTTATGATACTGCATACTTATTATAATCATTAACTTTTTTTTTCAACATGTCTTGTTGTCTCCTGTATCATAGCCATGATAATAACGTTTATAATAAACCAAACCGTTTGTTAATCAGTCAAGATTTCAGCGAGTTAAGAGTATTTTTGTGCAGATCACTCACCTCACAACAGCAGTAGTTGTTGACTGTGGCAAGATGGCCGCCGGTGAGCTACGCTGGCGACTCCCCCTTGAGCCATCTAGTGTTTATATATATCTATGCAACTGAGGACCTTAAAAAGCAATTGAACAGCAGCTGGAATCCTTTTTTTTCTGACCTCTAGTGGTTTAACTTCTCACTAAGTCGCAGTTGTGCAAAAGTGACTTCCAGTTGTCTGTAATGGCTCCTTTGAGCATGTTCCAGCATTGGAATTTATGAAGTCAAATACAAACAAGACCCTTCCAATATCTTAGTTTTTTACAATCATCATGAACACATAAATTACTTAGTATTTAAATAGGCTATAAGTTATATTTGAACAGGACACCTGGAAGTTTTAAGAGAAACAAGCTAATCAAACTTAGCCTTTGTAAGGGAAACACAGATTTGTTATGTGAAACTAGATAATTAATGTTTCTTCTGCGAATAGGTCTTCAACAGAGAGGTGTAACAGGAGAAATGCTATCGCTAGCGTGGCAACATATCCATGCTAACATGCTGATACTTAGCAAGTGCAATGGGAATCATGTTTATCGTCTTAGTTGAATGACGTTAGCTAAAAAGCTCCAAACACTTTGCCTACGGTTGAAACAGTTATTGTTGCAAGTATTTTATTACAGACAAACCTAGAGCTATGTTTTGTCGTATGGCTAACGACAACTGTCTGTCATTATATTAAAATTGTTCCTGTGTAGATATATATTTGCGGCGGTCTAGACAACGAAGAACCTCTGTCCTCTGCCGAGTGCTACAACCCCAAAACCAACGAGTGGACGATGATCGCCTCGATGGACTGCGGCTGCGCTTCAGCTCGGGCTGTCGTCTACAGAGACAAAATATATCTGGTTAGAGGAATAAAAAACATTCAAATTCATCAACACAATCACATACATCAAGACACAGACATGGACTTACCGGTAATTGCATGTGGTTTGGGTTGGTTTGCTGTCCACCTGGTTTATTTATGTGCATGAGATTTGGACATCTGAGGCGTTTTAATGACCTGAAACTTTTACAACCTCATGACTTTTCCTCTTTATGTAAGAAGACTTAGTGATTGGATTAGCAGTGATGCAACAGCATGTGGTTTCTTCTTTAATGTGTAATTAATGTGAACGTATTATCATAGTATCTCAAACATTAGAGCCAATTTGGACTCTTAATTAGGCCCTAACCAGGTGTAATTTATTTGTAGCCTTTCAAATAGATGCTTTGATACTAACCTAATACAATTTAAACAAACTGACCAAAGAATTTCATTGTCATAACTACACTGTAGCTATGTACATATAAAAGCTTTGAACCTTGAACCTTGAATACAATTTTAGTAAAACATGACGTGAATAAAACAAACCAACCAATCTAGTTGGCTTATCGAAGACTTCTTAGTCAGGTGGATGACCATCTGTATGTAATGGAGTATGTTTCTATTGTGGTAAATGTGTTTTAAGTAAATATCTCCCTCCTCTCACAGGCTGGAGGCCACATCAACGGCGCGTCTTTGTGCCGAGTCATCGCCTACGATCCTCTATCAAACCAGTGGAGCACGATGACTCCCATGATCTACGCTCGCAGGCACTTTGGCATGGCGGTGCTGGAGGAGCAGCTGTATGTGGCCGGAGGGTACAACAACGAGAGCGACCTCTGTAAGGTGGAGCGTTTCGATGAAGACTCCAGCAGGTGGAGCGCAGTGCGGGACATGGAGGCGCCTCTCTATGGCTTCAGCTTCTGTGTGGTGGAGCGACATTTTTACAATGCTTCAAACCTGCCCAAATTAACTACAGGGTTCCCGATATGTCCGTGAATGTGTGATAATATGGAGTGTCTTACTACCGTTTAAAAGTTTACTGTTCATCATTAAGAGCAATCATCAACTGTCAGCTATTTTTCAAATAAAGAAATCTTATTGACATCCTTGACCTCCCTGCACAGTCTCTGTGAAAGGGGAGATGTAAAATCTTTCTTTTTAGAAACAAATAAAAGATTGCATTACATTTTAATATAACAGCCAAACGACTCGCTGCGCCCTCGCTGCGAGGGGGACCCAAGTTCCCAACGGCGAAAACACGTGGGTTTGCTGTCCTGGCTCCAAGATGGTGGAATGAGCTCCCCATTGACATCAGGACGGCAGATAGCTTGCACATCTTCCGGCGCAAACTGAAAACTCATCTCTTTCGACTCCACTTCGAGCGATAGAACTATTAACGAAGCACTTTTATACTAATAAAGGACTGGCTTTTCTAAAGCCAGTTGAGTAGCACTTGAAATGTTTTTGCTCTATGAAACCTGATGTACTTATATGATTCTGTTTTCTTCAAGTTGTATTTTGTTGGACGAACGCACTTATTGTAAGTCGCTTTGGATAAAAGCGTCAGCTAAATGCAATGTAATGTAATGTAATGTAATATCGTTATTTTAGGTATCTATCTATCTATATCAACCAGACATGCTTGCTGTTTTACAGATGGCTCATTTCAAGTGCTGCTGGTGTTAAAGACAACCCGGTATCACGGCAAGACGTGAACATGTGACGATTTACCATGCTGGGAGACGTGAAGATGTCACGGTTTCGTCCCCTTCAAACGTGATAGCTACACGGTATTGTTAACCCATGTTAACCAGTGGAGAAATAACCGGAAATACCAAGCAAATGCTATACCCCGACGTAATGATTTATTTTTTAATAGTCACACTCGATTACAGCGATTTTCTTGTTGCCCCAGCTGGTCGACACCTCTTTTAGCATAAACAAAGGCTACATTAATGTATTGAATCGATGTTAATCCATGCGTGTGGATGTGGAATTAACGGACGTGACGTTGTGCGATTGAGTTGCCAAGCAACAGCTTCGGTTCATGTTAATTTACAAACTATTCAACTACAACTGTAGTTATATTTAAAAACATGTTAGAAGGCCTCACGAAATACTTTAATGCACATTAAAATGTAAATGTGAAGGAATGTGTGTATAACAAAATACATCGGTCATTAAACGAAACCGGAAACAGACGTAGGCAAGATCCTCAGCTCGATGATTGGATGGTTATCCGCAATGCATGCTGGGATTTGGTGTTTATGTGATGTGAAATCTGAAAACGTTTTTTAAAAATACAATAATACTTTATTCCGAGTGTGCTTGATTTTCTCTTTGTAAGTCATCACATAACGGCTTTGTAATACACGGTTCGGCTGCATTAAATATTACATATCTGCCGTAATTCTCTATTTATAGAGCCCTGCTGAGAAGACTTCTAGACAAACAGGAGAACTGCCGCCAAAACTGAAAACGTGACGTGGATCATAAATATATAAGCAATTATACAACATCTTACATTTCTTTTCACACAATGCGTCTCCTTGCAGTATCAACACTAATTCGGCTGACTTTTATATTTGATCCAATTGGTAGATAGGCTGTATTTACACCATAACCGTGCAGAGCTGATAGAAAGGGACACCTGGTGGTCAAAGCACGTTATTGAATTGTATTATTTTATTATTAGATATTAATAGGAGGATGTGCAAAATAGACAAACTAATAAGGCTTAATTTAAACATTAAAGAGTACTTTAGGTTAAGGTCTTATTTTGAATAAGAAAAAAGCTTTAAGAAGAATATGGAGGGATGAAACCCTCTTGAAACCGCAGGTCCTTCCTTCCTGCAGCGGTCAGACTTTACAACCAGCACTGCCCCTTGTAGACCCTCCTACACACACCACATCACAGACTATAACACCCCTTGCTGCTAAATACAAACCAACTTTGTGCAATATGTGCTATATGTGCAATATATATATATGCCATTAATAACTGTGTAATTTATACCTGGCCACTAAATCAATATATATGCCGTTTTGTTTTTGATCTGTATTTTTGAAAATTATGTAACTTTTATCTTTTTTTTAGCATATTGTTTATTATATTATAACTTAGTACTTTTTTAGCATATTGTTTATTTTTATTCTAACTTAGTACTTTTTTAACGCATGTAAGATATGCAACACTAAGCTGTCTGTGGCTCTTTCCTGCTGTAACGCTGCACATTTCCCCTCTGTGGAACTAATAAAGGTATTCTGATTCTGATTCTTTAATGGTCACACATGCAGAGCACACAGCACACACAGTGACATTTGTATCTACAGATAAATATTAAGCCTGACAAAGTACTTAACGTCTAATATATTGCTTTCCTGCAATGTTAACTATGTTTAAGCACTTATTTGTTTATTATTAAACTGATATTATACATATGTATTATACTCTTATAAGATGTATGTAGATAGAAATGTGCAGAATGACAGTTTAATGGTGGAGTATACACACATATTGATAGATGTCTTGTAATGCACTGTTGAGGAACCTGCGACCCAAGTTTTTCATTCATTGCATAACTACACAGTAGTTGTGTATAATATGATATGTCAATAAACCTTAGCTTATAAAATCTTGAAATCTTGAAAGGGATGTTCAAACTAGTCATTATATACAGTCTTTAATGAACTATTAGTAGAGAATAACGAGTAATGAATATACTTTATAGGGATCCTATTAATATCTAATAATAAAATAATAAAATTCAATAACGTGCTTTGACCACCAGGTGTCCCTTTCTATCAGCTCTGCACGGTTATGGTTTAAATACAGCCTATCTACCAATTGCATCAAATATAAAAGTCAGCCGAATTAGTGTTGATACTGCAAGGAGACGCATTGTGTGAAAAGAAATGTAAGATGTTGTATAATTGCTTATATATTTATGATCCACGTCACGTTTTCAGTTTTGGCGGCAGTTCTCCTGTTTGTCTAGAAGTCTTCTCAGCAGGGCTCTATAAATAGAGAATTACGGCAGATATGTAATATTTAATGCAGCCGAACCGTGTATTACAAAGCCGTTATGTGATGACTTACAAAGAGAAAATCAAGCACACTCGGAATAAAGTATTATTGTATTTTTAAAAAACGTTTTCAGATTTCACATCACATAAACACCAAATCCCAGCATGCATTGCGGATAACCATCCAATCATCGAGCTGAGGATCTTGCCTACGTCTGTTTCCGGTTTCGTTTAATGACCGATGTATTTTTGTTATACACACATTCCTTCACATTTACATTTTAATGTGCATTAAAGTATTTCGTGAGGCCTTCTAACATGTTTTTAAATATAACTACGGTTGTAGTTGAATAGTTTGTAAATTAACATGAACCGAAGCTGTTGCTTGGCAACTCAATCGCACAACGTCACGTCCGTTAATTCCACATCCACACGCACGGATTAACATCGATTTAATACATTAATGTAGCCTTTGTTTTCTGCTAAAAGAGGTGTCGACCAGCTGGGGCAATAAGAAAATCGCTGTAATCGAGTGTGACTATTACAAAATAAATCATTACGTCGGGGTAGCATTTGCTTGGTATTTCCGGTTATTTCTCCACTGGTTAACATGGGTTAACAATACCGTGTAGCTGTCACGTTTGAAGGGGACGAAACCGTGACATCTTCACGTCTCCCAGCATGGTAAATCGTCACATGTTCACGTCTTGCCGTGATACCGGGTTGTGTACGTGATAGGCTAAGGGGCGGGACATCTCTAAGCAGTTGACCAATCACAACAGAGCCGGCCAGCAAACCAATCAGAGCGGACTGGGCTCTGGTTTCAGACAGAGGGTGAAAAGAGGTGCTGCAGCACAGGCCGTATGAGAAAAATAAAGAGCTTTTGAACATTAAAGCATGGAGACATGTCCCAGGAGAGACACAACATACCAGAACATTTGCAAATTAAGTGTGAGCATGTAGAAACAACAGATGACGCACGCTCATTATTTCATATTGCACTTTATTCAGCTCTGAGGAGGCAGAACTGAGTCCTCGTCACAGATCAACACTTATTGCTTTCAGGCTTTCGGTCCGTGGACCCATCTCAAGTATTCTCACACTTCACACTTTGTATTTTGAACATGTCTACCGTCTGTGTGTGTGCGTGTGTGTGCGTGTGTGTGTGTGTGTTGACCTCCTGTATTTGCTGTGTGAAGATGGACAGAGGCGACAGGAGAGATTTGACACTGAAGTGCAGGCATGAGGTTTCACACATCACAATGTGAAAAAACGTACTGGAACAACAACAAAAATAATACACAGCATTGTGGTATTTCTCATGGTCTACATCACGCAGGGACATAACAAAGAAAGGCCTTTAATTTAACATTATATATCAGTTATTACATATTATTTCATGGCATTGGAGTCGTGCCTGGATATGGATCATTACAGCGGAGAGACACGCGCTAGTTTCTCATCTCCTTTTCAGTCAAACTCGGAGAATATCCAGAAGAAGTCTTATTCACACTTTAATCTGGAAGGAAGTTAACTATTCACTTGATTCTAGAGATGGTTGTAAAAGTAATTATTTATTGCAGTCATGTAAAAACTGAAGCTGCTCTGATTCAAATATTCATATTAAAAATGTTAAATTTGACTAGCAATATGTTCAAGATGTCACTGAAAAATATGATCAATTTCACTCAGATTTACTTTCAGTTCACTTTTACTACAAGAGACAACAGACTAAACAAAGTCAATTTTCACAAAGGAAATGCAAATCAATGTGTGTTTTCTTCCACTACTGGCAATAATTCCCCAAATGCTGCAGTTATACATTAGAAAGAAGACGGGACAACAAGATTAAATATTTAAAACAGCACCAGTCAAACCTCAAACAAACAAAAAACATATAAAAATGTAAGTTTCTATTATTTATGTTGATTTGTTTCGGTGTTTTGGACGCTAAAATGTACTCCAGCAGC